CGGCTTGACCCCGTGACCCACTTTAGCCCGTTCTTGACCTCAGACTAGGTTTCGGCGAAGGGGTGTCTCGCTTCCATTGTTAGCCTGAACCTTTCTTACTGTTTCTCGCAGTGTCTGAGGAAAACACGAACGGAGACAATAACTCCAGGCTATAAAGAAAAGACACACACACACAAAGAAAAGAAATAGAAAAATAAAAAATACGCACACACACGCACAAAGAAAAAAAAACTTACACACATACACACACACACGGACAAAGAAAGAAAAAAAAACACACGCACACACACACACGGACAAAGAAAGAAAAAAAAACACGCACACACACACACGGACAAAGAAAAGGAAAAATAAACAAAAAATACACACACACACACGGACAAAGAAAGGAAAAATATAAAAAATTACACACACACAGACACACTGACAAAGAAAAAAAAAATACACACACACACTGACAAGACAGACACTGACAAAGAAGAAAAAAATTACACACTCACACGAAAAAACTCTTTGTTTCTAACTTAACCAACCGAGTCTCGAAAATAGCCTACTCGCCTCTTACACTCGCCGTCTACAAAGTCGCGTAAGGCTGAGGCGTCACTTCTTCCGCAATATTCCTGCTCGTCAGACTTATTATTAATAGATTTATTAGTAACAATATCATTATTATCATTATTATTATATTATTATGAGACTTATTATTGAGAGCCTTGGCAGACGCTGGCTCCTTCTCCCGCGGCCATGAGCCAGAATGGTGCCCGGGGAAGACTGGGCCAAGTGAGGCTGAGAGTTTGGGGCGGGGGGTTGTCTCCCCCTCTTTGTCTTCTGTCTGTTGGGGGTCTTTGTGTCTGTTTTTGGTTGGTTGCTTGGTTGCTTGGTTGGTTGTTTCGCTTCCTCTTTCTCTCTTTTTTCTGGCTTTGTATTTTATTTTGTCTCTGTCTCTCTCTCTCTCTCTCTCTCTCTCTCTCTCTCTCTCTCTCTCTCTCTCTCTCTCTCTCTCTCTCTCTCTCTCTCTCTCTCTCTCTCTCTCTCTCTCTCTCTCTCTCTCTCTCTCTCTTCTCTCTCTCTCTCTCTATCTCTCTCTTCTCTCTCTCTCTCTCTCTCTCTCTCTCTCTCTCTATCTCTCTCTCTCTCTCTCTCTCTCTCTCTCTCTCTCTCTATCTCTCTCTCTCTCTCTCTCTCTCTCTCTTCTCTCTTCTCTCTCTCTCTCTCTTCTCTCTCTCTCTCTCTCTCTCTCTCTCTCTCTCTCTCCCTCCCTCCCTCCCTCCCTCCCTCCCTCCTCCTCCCTCCCTCTCTCCCTCCCCCTCCCCTCCCCCTCCCTCCCTCCATCCTCTCCCCTCTCCCCACCCCTCCCCACCCCACCTCCCTCTCCCCCATCTCATCCTCTCTCCCTCTCTCCCCATCCCTTACCCCCCTCTCACCCCCACCCCACCTCCCTTATCCCCCCTCCTTCACCCCACCTCCCTTCCCCCCTCCCTCCCTCACTCCCCACCGTGCATATCCGTGCCTATCCACCCCCCGCGCGACGCACTCCGCTTTCCGTTATTATTATTTTTTTTTTCCCCTTAAGCTCTCGACATCAAAGCCATAAGCTCGGCGATACTGCGGGAGGAAGGGCGAAGGGGGGAGGGAGAGGGGAAGGGGGAAGGGCGAGAGGGGGAGGGTTGGAGGGAGGGAATTTTTAGAAGGAGGGAGGGAAGGAGAGGGAAAAGGGGGAAAGGAGGGGAAGGGCGAAGGGGAGGGGGGGAAGGCGAAGGGGAGGGGAAGGGCGAGGGGCGAAGGGGAGGGGAAGGGCGAAGGCGGTAGGGGTGGGGGAGGGGCGAAGGGAAGGGCGAAGGGGGGTGGGGGGGGAAGGGCGAAGGGCGAAGGGGAGGGGAAGGGGGAAGGGGGGGGGGAGACCGAAGCAAAGATGAGGTAATTGCTTCCTGGTCGGGAGGGCGGGCACGGCGGTGGTGTCGGCTGAAGCGAGGGGTGGGGTGGGAAGGAGGGAGGGAGGGAGGGAGGGGGGGGGCGAGGGAGTTCTTAGAAGGAGGGAGGGGGAAGGAGGGGGAGGGAGAGGGGTAGGGGAACGAGAGGGAGGGGGAGGGAATTCTTAGGAGGAGAGAGGGAGGGAGAGGAGGAGGGGAAGGGGGAGGGAGAGGGAGAGGGGGAAGGGGAGGGTTGGAAGGAGAGAGGGAGAGAGAGGGGAAGGATTGGAGGGAGAGGAGAGGGAGAGGGAGAGTTGGAGGGAGAGGAAAACGGAGATGGAGGACAGAGGGAGGGGAAGGTGAAGGATGTGAGGGAGAGGGAGAGGGGAAAGGGGAGGGGAGAGGAGAGGCTAGATTGAGGGGGAAATCTGGCGGATAGAACGCGGAAGAGAGAAATCCTGAGAAGGAAGGAGGGAGGGAGGGTAGAGGGAGAGGATAAGGGGGGGCGTGCATAAAGAGGAAGGGGGGGGGAGGGTTTTAGAGGGAATGCGGAAGCGGAAGAGAGGAACAGGGAATGGAGAATAGTAGAG